CATCCAAACCCAACCTGATTTCAAAAACCCTCAGCTGTGCCCGCCGGGGTGGCTCAGTGGTTGAGTCTCGATCTATGAACCAGGAGGTCATGGTTCAACTCATGGTCAGAGCACATGCCCAGGTTTCGGGCTCCATTCCCAGTGTGGGGCGTACAGGAGGAAGCCAGTTGGTGATTCTCTCTCATCATTGATGTTCCTCTCTCTCTCTTCCTCTCCCTTCCTCTCTGAAACCAATAAAAATACATTTTAAAAATCTCAGCTGAGCATGTGCTGTGCTCTCTGCTCGTGCTCACATACAGGATGGATCCGTGCAGCCTAGATGCCTGACCTGCGGCATAGATGAGTTTGAACCTGACTCAGCCCCTCATTAGCTCTGTGGCCTTAGGCGAGTTATTTGATCATTGAAGCTTCAAATTCCTCACCTGAAAAAATTATAGATAAAACTGGTACCTACTTCCTTGTAGGGTCTAATGAAAAGTAAATGAGTTAATGCACGGAGGAGTTCAGAAAAGCCCTTATCCATACTATAGATTTAGTAAATATTCTGGGTACTGGTTTAGTGCTAATGCCTGAAATAAAGACAAGGTTTCTGGTCCTAAGAAGGTAACTTTATCAGAATGTCAAACAGAAACAATAGAAACAGGTGTGGCCGCCAGTCAGCGGGAGCGGCAGGTACCAAAAACGTGCCAATACCGAGGGCATATGAGGGATACTCAAGAACTAGGGGAGGTCCTCACTCAAGGAGCTCTTTGAAGGGCCCAGACACACAGAACAGTCCTGAACAAGGTCACACCCTCAGGTCCAGGCTGGGCCCAAGGCCTTGGCAAACACATACTTATTTTAGTAATCACAGAAAGGTACAAAGTCTTGTTAGACAAACTAGGTCCTTTAGAGGTTCTCGGGCACATAAGCCTCAAGGACACGGGTGTGATGGAAATGCCGAAGGCACGTGGCCTGTCCCACGCCCTTCCCCGCCCCCATCCTCAGGCCTTCTCTGCAAATGCCTCCCTAGTGACCGGCTTCTTGGCTCTCTTCTCCCTCAAGTATTCAGACTTCCTGGTTCTCCCACTGCCCTGGCAGCTGCTCCTTGGGCTCTTTCTCCCACCCTCTAGAAGTGGGTAGCTGTCCCACAACCTTCACCCTTCATGGCCCCACAGATACCTCATCTCTAAAATGGAGGTTAAACGAAACAATGTGTGTGATACAACTTAGCTCTGTTCTCTTCTCTGAGGATGCTGCCATCCCCAGACAGCGGGGCCCAACATCCTGGCATCACTTTCAATCCTCTCTCAGCCCTGCCTGCCAGATCCCACCGGCGCCACTGTCCTGTGCTCTACCGGCTGCTTCACCCCTCCCACGCTCTGCATGTACTGCTGATGCTACCTGTGACACCAAGACAGTTCTCCCATCCCTCAAAGCCTTTCAGACTCCCCAGTGCAGACTGAGGAAAGACTCAGTGTCTTAGGCAGGCACGCAAGGCCTTCTGTCATCCAGCCCCAGCCCACGTTGCAATTTCAACCCACCATGGCCCTTTTGTCCAGTTTGATTCGATCTGCTGGGTGCTGCACCATGAAACAGGAATTCTGTATCCAAATAAGGGGCTTACACAAAGCTTGACTGATTCTTATTGCACAAGTTCATCGCCTTTAATACCTTGATATGCACTGTGGCTCTCCACATTCTCCTAGGTTTATTCAGACTTGTAATACTCTATTTTCATGGAGTTCAAGAACAATCTAGGACAATCTGTACCATGTTGTTTCTCTAGCAAGACTTTGGAATGTGCCAGTCAGGTGGGCCAGAGATAGCGTGGCCCATGGCCATGACCATCTTAGGCACGTTTGTTGTTCGTGACCATTGTTGAGTAGAATCTCAGTAGGAACATAAAATCACAAACTGAGCCAAGCAGCCTTTCTCAGCACACGAATGAGAAACAAGTGCCTGATAGAGAGGCCCCGGATGGGCTGACAAGGATATACTTCTGCCTTAACTGCCAAGGCTGCCTGCTTTCCCAGTCTTCCTGACTAACCCGTCCCACAGACTTCGTTAAAATTCCCTGTATGCTTGCCCTGACCGGTTTGGCTCAGGGGATAAAGCATCGGCTTGTGGACTCAGGGGTCCCAGGGTCGATTCCGGTCGGGGGCATGTGCCTTGGTTGCGGGCACATACCCAGTGGGGAGTGTGCAGGAGGCAGCTGATCGATGTTTCTCTCTCATCAATGTTTCTAACTCTCTATCCCTCTCCCTTCCTCTCTGTAAAAATTCAATAAAATATATTTAAAAAAATAAAAAATTCCCTGTATGCTTAAATTAGCCAGTGTTGATTTCTGAGGCCTCAAACCAAAGAACCTTCACTGATATACAGTTCTTTAGGTCCCTGAGCAAAGCCATCCAAATACCCCACCAGCAATGGAGCAGCCAGAGCCATGCCCTCCACCACGTGGCCCCACAGGGAAGTACCTGTCCCGTCTGGAGTAGACCTCACAAAGGTGGGCAGCATTTTCACTGAAGCAGTGGGGTGGGTGGTAGCTCCAAGCCCTTTCTCCATCTCCTTGCGAAACCGCTTAGAGATCTCCAGAAGGGTCTCATCAGAAAGACGCATGTGATAGAGATACTGGTCAACCTGCAGAAAGGGGAAAACAAGGATAGACACCTATAAGTTCAATAAAGTACGGTATGCATCTATGTCATAGAACATCACTCAGCCCTTCAAAAGAATAAAATCTGTCATAAACAGAAGGTTATTTATGTAAGACCATTTAACCAGAATCTATTTTTTAGGACTTCATATTTTAAAAGAAACTGAACTAAAAATTGAAATTAGAAAAATGGTTTAATTTCACTTCTGGAGGAAAGGCCTGTTAGGGAAAAGGAGAATTCTTTTCAGAAAGATAGAGTGTTAATGTCTAAGACATCCCTTGAACCGGAGTTCTTTACTGACCCTCATCTCTTGTTTCCCCACACACACCTCACAAGGCCAGTCATGCCAATCCTATCACCCCTCAATGTAGGCCAAGCAGCCGTCACCTCTTGCCTGGACTTACACAATCCCCAATTCTACTTTTATCTCATCCATCCACTTTCCACCCCTAGCAGACTTGGCTATTTTTCCCCTGCTTAAAATCTTTCAGTGGCTTTCCATTAGAACCAAACTCCTTGGAAACCCTTCCTAGGCCCTATAGCAGTGGTTCTCAACCTGTGGATCGCGACCCCTTTGGCGGTCGAACGACCCTTTCACAGGGGTTGCCTAAGACCATCCTGCATATCAGATATTTACATTACGATTCATAACAGTAGCAACATTTCAGCTATGAAGTAGCAATGAAAATAATTTTATAGTTGTGTCACAACATGAGGAACTGCATTTAAAGGGCCAGAAGATTGAGAACCACTGCATAGGGTCTGGCCTCCCCCCACTTTCTAATCTCATTCTATGTCTCTTCACTCCTGTGCAGACTTTATCCTCGGTTCAGTCCCCAACTCACCCAATTCATACTTCCTGCCCTGGAGCCTGTTCACAAGGGCCCTACCCTCCTTACCTCACGCTTCAGCTGCCATCAAGCTCTTACCAGTCCTTGAAACCTCTTTCCATGGAGGCCTTCTCCCAGTAAAATACTCAGGTCTCCCATTATTCTAAGAACTCAGACCTTTCTCTTCACAAAACCATCCGCAATTTGGAAATATATATTTAATAGTGTCCAAATATAAGCACCAAGGGCAAGAAGAGCCACGTCTCTCTGCTCTCTGCATCCCTGGAGCCTAGCAGAATGCCTGGTGCACAGTAGAGACTCTATATAGGTAGTTATGCAACCTCTCTTCCCCCCAGAGGCAACTTTCCATATTTATTTCATTGATCTTGTTTCCAACATAAATTTACATGAACTTTTCCCAGATTTAAAACCAGGAGAAGCATCAGGAGTCCTTCTCACACAGTGTCCTTCTTGGAAGCACCCGTCGGCTTTGGCCATAAATATTCCGTTTTCTCCTACTAGGAAAAGATTGGATAGAAATCCATCCAAGAAGGCACACAGGTTTCCACAATATCCCTGTTCTCAGCAACAGTGTACAGGACAGGGAAGGCTGCTGGCCATGGAGGGTGGGGCTAGAGAATCAGGAACGTTGGACCAGGCCCCAGCTGTGCCTTCAAGGTGTGAAGATGGTGGTCCTCCCAGTCCTGTCAGCAAACTGAGGGACCAGACGGAACCCTGCTCCTCCCAACTCTGAAACTCCAGGATTCTCAAAGGCAAAGCTTGGCTGATGACAATCACCACTGCTATTCCGGATGGTCAGTGCCCACCTGTCCCTCACCGTTACCCAAGTCTGACAAAGAAGCATACATTTTTATTAGCTTTCCTAAAGTCCTAATTAGTATTATAGCCTGTTATAGTTTCCAGACTTTTGAGTCAGGTCTTCTTGGACTTCCTTTTAAACAAACACAGCCTAGGATGTCCAGAGAAACAGCACGGGGTGTTTAATCCTTTAAGAAAAGGACAATCCCTTGTGTCTCCTTACTCACATTTGCTCTCTTCCTGGACATATCCTAATCCCCTATGGGTGTGTGCATGTCCTCTTTGGGCCTGTAGAATAATGTTTCTGCCCCTGTAGAATAATGAGAGTGGCCTCCTGAGATCATTTCCAATGTCCTGATCAGCACTCATCATTCACCGTTCTCATAAAATCCCACAAGGTGAAGAAGATCAGAGTCTGGAGTAAAATGCTAAGAGCAGCTGTAAGCAAGGTGAAGGCATCTGATGAATCAACTTACCCCTCCTCATGAGGGCCAAGTGGTTATAATACAGCAAAATCGGCAGCCACCATCCTCCCCTGGGGTGGGAAAGGGTGAGTAGGAGCAGAGAAGTGATAAAGGCCCTAGCCACTCCTCTCCCTCCCCAGCCAGCAGAGCGGTCCGGCTTGTCATGCTGCGTTTCCAATTTGCAGAAATGAGGATTTCCCAGAACTCCCTGTTGCCAGCATTTGTTAAAGAGCTGCCCCAGAGTAGGTCCACCAATCTAAATCAGGAAGAATCCACTGTCCATTCTTTTTTCTGATTTTAGGCTCCTGGCACCTTACTTGCCTTGAGCCCACTGTCTGCCTCAGCCTCCCAGGCTGTGTGGCACCAGCCTCAGCCCGAGCTGGGTCACTGATGTGGGATCCCAGGGTGCTCCTGAGGGGGCCTGGCCTCCCCCACAATGTTGTTTGAGGCTTACCAGGAAGTCAAAGGTATAGCTTCAGACAAGTCCCCTCTCTGTTAGTGCGTGGGAGACACATCTCTGGTGACCCCGGGCCCAGGACAACTTTAATCACTGCAGAGGCTGCCTGTTCCAGATCCAATGACATCTGGCTTGGCCCAGCAACACTGCCTCATGGCTTACACATCTTGCTGTGAATGTACAAAGTCTGGGACCACCAGCCAGAGGTCAACACCAGGCCACATCCAGGAATAGCCCAGGATGCCCTCATGGGACATAGTCATAACAGCAAACCCTACGTGGCACTATTCTCAAGGTTTCACACCCATTATGTCATTTAGTTCTCACAGCAGCTCTGTGAGATAAGTAGTGTTATAACCACCTTCTATCAAGAGGGAAAGGAACTGTGCCCAGAGTCACATAAATACAAAGAGCCAAGCCAAGATTCTACTGGGCACCCAGCTCATCTGTGTTCTTGTCCGCTCCGCTGGGATGAATGCCCCTCTTCTGTTGGTCAACAGCAGGTCTATGCAGGCCAAATGGCCCTGTGGGACATTTAGGCTAACCACACCCATTAAAAGGCCATCTTTTGCCCCACTGGTGTGGCAAAGTGGTTGAGTACCGACCTATGAACCAGGAGGTCATGGTTTGATTCCCGGTCAGGACATATGCCCAGGGTTGGGGGCTCAATCACCAGTAGGGGGCATGCAGGAGGCAGCCGATCAATTATTCTCTGTCATCATTGATGTTTCTCTCTCTCTCTCCCTTCCTCTCTGAAATCAAAATATATATTTTTTAAAATAATAAAATAAAATAAAACAAAAGGTCATCTTCTCTTGCCACCAACCCCTGGATGCAGACAAGAAGGACAAGCAGGCACGGGCACAGCCCATAGGGCTGGCCTGGTAAGTCAGAAGGAAGCAGGAGAGTTCCTGCATGGGAAAGCAGGGCCTGTACCACAAACATGTCAAACTCAAAGGCTAACACGGGCCAAATAATCGAAGTTTAAGTTTATGTGGGCCGCAAAAAAACAAAAGCTTCAATTTTCATAGAAACATAGGTTTATTTCCATAGAGACATGCTGAATACAAAGGGCTGAAATAAATGAGTAGTCGTTAACATAAAATTATAGAACATGTTAATAAA